ATAGATAAACATTTCTGTGTAATGATAGCAACCACGAACATACTTTTTGAGATATGAACAGATGATGTTCACAGTTTCCGAGGCAGACAAGCAAATAGTATCTAATTTGTATGAGTAACTTCTAGAAAGCAATAGGAAAAAAATCACTGTTAAATAAGTAAGCAGTTTGTGAAATGGGGCATTTGAAAATGTAATACATTATGGGGATGGAGAGAATGTTCAGCAGTTAAGAGCATTGGCTGCTCCTCTAGAGTTCCTAAGTTCAATTCCCATCTACCACATGGTGGCTCACAACCATACTAGGATCTGATCTTCTCTTCTGGCATGCAGATATATGTGCAGAGCACTCATATGTAAAATATACACAAATAAAATATTTTTAAAAAACAAAAAAGTGTAATACATCATTTATAGAGCTACTTTAAAGCTAGTCACCTTGATGTTGATTAAAAATTTAATTAAATTAGTAGTAATTTATTAAATTATGTGTATGTGTGTGTGTACATGTCACTTAGACTGTTAGGCTTGGCAACAAGTGCCATTACCATCTTACCTGTTTTGCTGGTCCCAATAGTAATTTTACTAATAGCTTGGTGGACTGGAGAGATGTCCAAGTGGTTAAGTAGAGAATAAGAAATTTTGGAATGCTCAGCCCTAATTGGATAACTATATCATATCTATCTTTTTAAAGGCTCAGGGATTTATATGAACAAGATAGCAGAAAGAATGTAAGAGCCAGAGGTGGGGGATGACTTCAAAGAAACAGGGTTTTCCAGACAGATGCACATAGGAACTCATGGAAACTGGGAGAGCATGCTTAGCACCTGCACAAAGTGCAAGCTAGACAAAATCTCATCATGGAGAATGAAATTTGTTCACAAAATATCACCAATGAAGAAGGAATTATTTTTAGTTGATAGTTGCTAGGACAGGGAAAGTTAGTTGTTTTTTTTTTCTTTTTTTCAATGAAGTAAACTGGGTGTGTCAACCACTCTCCAGGGTTCATGTTAATGAGTAGTCAGTCAGCACTAATGGGACTCCATGCAATTGTTATTTTGTTTTGTTTTAAGAAAGAGAAAGAAGATGAAGTTGGTTCAATGGGGAGTTGGGGGAGGAACTGGGAAGAGTTGGGGAAGGGAAAAGGATATGGTCAAAATATGTTGTATGAAATTTTCAAAGAATAAATAAAAATGTTATTAAAAATAAAATAAAACACTTTTAAATAAAAGTACTTTTTAGAAATAAAATAATAAATTTATTTATTTATTCATTTATTTATTTATTTGTGTGTCTGAAATTCCCTTACTTACTGACCTATTTTGCTAGATTGATGGGCTAGCGATGGCTTAGCAGTTAAGAGAGCAGCCTGCCTTTCCAGAAGACTCTAGTTAAGTTCCCTGCACCCATGTTCCCTGGTTCATACTCACTTGTAACATCAGTTTCAGAGGATGCAGTGCCTCTGACCTGCTCAGGAACCTGCATGCTCAGGCACAGACACAGACACACACATATACGAACAACAACAACAAAACTGAAAAAAAAAAAAAAAACAATTGAAAACCTATCTTTTCCATCTTTTGTAACCAATCTGGAGAAAAATAGATATTATATTATCAATTTCTTTGTAATTTATAATCCTCAAGTATTACCTATATTTCCAGGAAAAATTAAAGTATATTATGTTGGCTTATATAGGGATGGGCAGCATGATAAACATTGTGTAATACATTACTTGTACAGCAATGAAAGCTACCTGGATTTGCCTCACTGGGTGACAACATAGTCGAAAAAACACAGTAATAGACCATTCTGAATTGTTTATCAGTAGATTTTTATCTTTTCTGTTTGCTTTTTACTCATTAACATTGTTGTGCCCAGATCGCTACCCCCAGAGAGACCACCAAGGACGAGCAAGCCGGAATGCAAAAGCAAGGTTTAATCATGGATATCCAAATGCAATACAAGCCTAGGCAGGGACTTCGTCCAACAGATCCAACGCAGTGGAAGCTGGAGGAAGTGCCCACCTGTCTGCAAGCTCAG